GGAGGCCCGGGGTCGGCGAAGCAGTACTTCCAGACGCCAGCTGTGTAAGTACTTCCCCCTGAGGGCCAGGAGCGGCATGACCCGTCAGGGCAAGAAGAAGGGCAGGGCTGGGCCTGCTCCTCCAGGATCCTACAGGAACCAGCACTGACTGGAGAGGGCCCAGCTCTAGCCAGGGCTCCCCTGCATGCACACACAGCTGTTCTTACCCCAGCCTCTTCCAGCTGGTCTCGCACTGGCCTTTGGGGGCTCTGTCCCCAGAGTCACAGTGCCCTCCTGGTCCTGCAGTGGGTGGGGCAGGGCTAGGCGTCTGCAGCAGGCACTGAAAGGCAGGGCAGAGGGAACACTGTCTCACCTGCTGAGGGGACCCACGTCAGAGTAGTTAACACTAATCCACTGAAAAGGGGGAACAAAGGTGTTAGGTTACACCGTGCCCCTCCCCTTTCTGTCCCCCAAGCCTCCAATAGCTCTGGGCAGGTGACCCAAGTGAAAGAACAAGGTGGAGCAGGGAGGTGGATTGTTTTCTCACAGGAGCTGAAACTCAAAGGAATGGGTGGGCACACAGTACATACACCTAAGACGATCAGCAGAGGAGTGGATTTCCAGGCCCCTGACTGCTGCTAACTGCCTGGCCCCTGTACTGCCCAGCGTCTGTCCTGGGCATTCTCCTCCCTAGGAGACCAGGACGTCCCCTGTGTGTGCTCTGTCCTCGTGGCTGTGCTGCCGTGCTAGCATAGACTCTGTGGCCTGTGTCCAGCTGCTTTGGGCCCAGAGGGACAGCCCAAGGGGAAATCTGAGCCCAGTGGCCTGATATGACTTCTCTCCTGCCTGTCCCTGGCAATCAGCAGGCCTCCACCTTGTGAGTTTACAAGCAGATGAGCCCTGGGCTCCTGAGGCAGACGGAGAAGGTGCTCCAGTATAGTGTGGCTGGCGGGGTATACCTCTGCCTTTCCCCCAGGCCACCCTCCCACCACTGATAGTGACCACCTGGTGTGAACTTACCTGTGCCAGGTACAGCCCGGGTGGTGGGTATTACTCTCCCCACTTAAGCTTTCTGAAGCTGAACTGACCTGTCAGGCCTCATCTTTCACGACTGATCAGCCCTCAGCTAGGACTCTGTACAGAGGAGGGGCTCCCTAAGGGGTCTCTGTGCCATGTTAGGGGAGAGTTGCCCAGGCGTGTGTGCCCATGGTGGAAAACAGAGGGCCTGGAATAAGCACCTTAGTCACCTTGCCCAGCTTTTACTGCTAGTTTCTGTAGGCGTCATTTTCCCCATAGGTATATGGGGTCCTTCCCTTTATGACAGGAATGGAATGGAAGCACAAAAAGACTGGAGGGACCAGCAGACGGCATAAGGGTTACACCGCTGGACTCCCACGTGGTCAACCGCGATTTGAGTCCTGGACACAGTGACTTGAAATGTGAGGGACGGGGGCCAGCAGTTGGCATAATGGCTACATCGCTGGACTCCCATGTAGTTGACCACAGTTCGAGTCTCGGACCCAGTGGCTTAAACTCATGCTGGATGTGTGTGCGTGCGTGTCCAAGATCCCAAAGTGTTTACATGCGTGTCCAAGATCCGATAGGCATAATGTAGGAGAAGGGATTGTGGTGTGGTCATCCCCCCTGGGGGGAGATTTCTCACTTTCTGTCTCTCTGGCGAGTGCTCCGCGCTCTATATAGTGCTCCGCGCTCTATAGCAAAAACCTCTCAAAAAGAAAGAAAAAAATGTGCGGGGTGCACGTGCGTGTGTGCCCCAAATCCCGAGAGAGTGGAGGAGAAGGGATTGTGTGGCCATCCCCTTTGGGGGTGACTTCTTGCTTTCTCTCTGTCTCTCTCTCAACACACCCCAGACTCCTGGGCAGTGTCATTTCTTGTGCCTGGCTTCTGCTGTGGCCTCTTTCCTCCTGCTGGGCCATCAACCTCTTATCACCATTTGCTGGTGTCAGAACTAACAGCTTCTGGTCTGGAGAGGAACTGATGGTTACCTTCGGGAAGAGAGAGTTATGAATGTTTATTTCACCTTATATTTTCTGATTTTTCTGTAATGAGCATATTTAATTTTTCCAATCAGAAAAAAAAAATGACTGCTGTCTCCATGTACCCACCCTAGTCCTAGTCTACACTTCACTCTGCAGTGTATTAAATAGTGCCTGCGACGGGCTGTGCCTGCGCTGGGCTGGCTCCTGGCCGTGCTCAGTCAATGTTTGCTGCTGTCCAGAGCCAGAGGCTGTCCAAGAACCAGGTAGGGGTGGTGTCTGCGGACCCCTGAAGGAGCATTGGCCATGTTGCCACCATGGGCTGCAAGAGCGGTCCTCTAGTCTTTTTGGATCTCCCACCCCAAGAGGACACCACCTACTTGCTTCCTGGGGCCTGGGGTGTCCAGCAGCAGCAGGAGGTGACCTGTGCTGGCTAGCCTCAGGCAAAAAAAAACTGGACCCAGGCCTCTAGGACCCTGGAGGAGAGGGAGGAGCTGGCACCCAAGACCAACAGATGAGCTCTGCCAGGAGCCCTCCCCAGGGCCCTCTCGGTAAAGCCCCAGGCCTGTGAGAATGGGGTTAAAATGGGCAGGAAGCACAGCCTGGAAGGGGCGGAATATCACATGACAGGGACATGTATCCTGTTTAGGGTCAGAAAGGGCAGGTCTGCCAGCTACACTCGTCTTCCCCTTCCCTCGCAAGAAAGCCAGTGTGTCGAGTCTGGCCCTGTGCTGCTCCTGCGTACTTCGGGCACCTGCAAGGCAGGGCTATTAAAGTTTAACATCCCTAGGGTGGCCCTGTAGCCTAGTGGTTAAAGGGAGCCGGATCCCACATAGCCAACTGCAGGTCCATGCCAGACATGTGTGCATGCGTTCCCCAAATCCTAACTGAATGGGGAAATGGAGGGTGTGGCCATGCCCCAGTGGGGAACGCTCTCTCCCCTCCTTTCCTCTCTCTCTCTCTCTCTTTGATGAGCACATATGCCCTCTGGCAATTAAAAAACAGTTAAGGGGGGGCCAGCAGATGGCATAGCAGTTATGTCACTGGACTCCCATATGGCCAACTGCAGTTAGAGTCCCAGACTGGGCGGCTTGAAACTCATGCCAGGTGCACATATGTGTGTGCCCAAGATCCCAGGAGGAGAATGGAGGAGAAGGACCTTTCCTGTGTGGGTTCAGGTGCGTTACCGCTGTGCCACCACCCAGTCCCTAGAAATCACCCCTGGGAGGTGATTTCTCACTTTCCCTCTCACTCTGTCTCTCTCTCATCATCACCCCACACCCTACATCGAAAAAATAAACAAACAAACAAAAGACTTCTTCAAGGAGATCACTGGAATTTGACCCTGGACTAGCTGCGAGGGCCAGGACAGCCTCTCCCTACCACCCTAGCCACCCTCCTGAACCTCTGGCCCGCCACTCAGCCATGAAATAACTCCACTCATGCCAAAAACAAGCCTGAGGCCTGGGGTAAAAGCAGGGTGTGGGGCTTCCCTCAGGCCACAGGTACTCACTGGACACTCAGCTCCTGGGCACTGTGGCACTGACCTGGCCGTGGTGGGACTCATGCACCCCAAGTCCAGCACAGGGCCACCTGGGCCAGGCCCTGAGCCTTCCCTCCTACTTGCTGCTGGGCATTACGGCTTCAGCCCAGGGCCACTTGCCATGCCACAAAGGCCCACAGGGCCCGGCCCTTCTCAGCTGCCTGTCTGCCTGGCCCTGCTGCACGTGGCTTCTCTAGCATGCAGGGGAGGTCCGGGCCACAGGCTGCTCCTGTGCCTGGGCCCAGCCACTCGGGCTTCCTGTCACATGGCAAATGCTTCCTGTCACATGGCCTCCTCAGGCCACTCTGGAAGGCCCTGAGCAGCCCTGTGTCTCTCACAACCTCACACCAGGCCTGCAAGGAGCTGCAAAATAGTAGAGGAAGAGTTCTCGCATCTCAGAACCAAGTCACATTTATTCAAAGTTTCCCCCTAGGGACTGGGTGGTGGCACAGTGGTAACGCACCTGAACCCACACAGGAAAGGTCCTGGGTTTGCATCCTGGGGCCTCTCTGTACACACTGGGCAGCCAGGGCTAGCTGAGACTGGGAGTGGGTGGGTCATGGCATATGGACCTTGCTGGGAGTGCCTATGTCTCTTTCTCATATGCAAGAAATAAACAGTTTTTGAAAACTTACGGGACCACCAGGTGGCATGGTTATTTCACTGGACTCCCATGTAGTCAACCATGGTTCCAGTCCCGGACCCAGAGGCTCAAAACTCATGCCAGGCACATGTGCATGTGCGCCGTACCCAGAATCCCAAGAAGAGAATGGAGGAGAAAGGACTGCGGCGTGGTCATCTCCCCTGGGGGATGATTTCTCACTTTCTGTCTCTCTATCTCTCTCTCCGTGTCTGGCAAGCACATACGTCTTAAAGGAAAAATCTCTATTAAAAAAAAATTACATTCGGGACCAGCAGGTGGCATGGTGATTAAGGGCACTGGACTCCCACATGGGCGGCTACAATTCAAGTCCTGGACCTGGCGGCCTACTTTCTCACTTTCTCTCTCTCTCTCTCACTGCCCCTCTCTGGTCAAATTAAAATAAATAAATAAATAAAGTTAAATAAAATAATTCTTTTAAAAAAATTATACTTGCAAATACCAAAAGTTACACAAGGGGACTTTTTCTGGAAAGAATTATTTAATTTATTATTTCAATTTGCTATAGGGCATGTGTGCTCACTAGAGAGACAGTAAGAAAGCAAGCTGCCAGGTCTGGGCCTTGAATTGTGTATGACCATGTGGGAGTCTAGCACTTTAACCACCATGCCACCTGCTGGCCCTAAAAGGGGACTTTAAAAAGTTTGTGGAAAAATAAAGTACGAGTTTATTTTGGTGCAATAATATTTGAAATAATGCATCATTTTAAAAATAATATTCATTATATATATATGCACATACATATATTTTTCTAATATAGGATTTTTGCTATAGAGCACATGTGCTCACCAGAGAGACAGAAAGTGGGAAATCACCCCCAAGGGGGTTGACGACACTGCAGTCCCTCCTCCTCCATTCTCCTCTCGGGATTTTGGGCAAGCACGCAGACGTGCCCAGCGTGTTTTTTTAAGCCACCAGGTCCAGGACTCAAACTACAGTTGACTACATGGGAGTCCAGCAATGTAACCATTATGCCATCTGCTGGTCCCAATATATATCATATATTAATTTACATATATAATAATATCCATGAACTTGCAAAAAGCTCTCATACAGGGGTTTATGTACATGGGCCTGTGCTTTTAAAAAGTGTACTGACTCTTGGGACCAGCAGATGGCGTAATGACTACGTCGCTGGACTCCCAGGTAGCAGACTGCAGCGGTTCAAGTCCCGGACCCAGTGGTTTAAACTCATGCCGGGTGCATGTGCGTGCATGCCCAAGATCCCAAGAGGAAAATGGAGAAGGGATTGCTGCGTGGCCATCCTCCCTGGGGGTGATTTCTCATTTTCTGTCTCTCTGTCTCTCTCTTTCTGGAAAGTGCACACGCCCTATAGCAAAAACCTCTCCAAAAAAAAAAAAAATGTATTCTGACCCATAGTAACAGGCTTTCCTTTAAATGTCTGCACACACCCAGGCCCATCTTTGCATCTCGGGCTTAAGGGACTGATGCTATCCCAGGGAGGAGTGGAAATGTGGTAGTTGTGAGTTCAACTTCCAGCTCTCCTGGGGGCAGCAGCCACCTCCTGCTTCCCACGGCCCAGGCAGTCTGTGAGGGGAAGGAGGAGCATGGCCCCTCACTCCTTGAGTGGCCAAGGCCTTTTGGGCTGCTCAAATGCTGGCGCTCAGACATCAGTCACTGTAGTCAACAGGTCACTGCTCGCATGGGATGCTGAACATTTCAGTTTGTACTGAACTGTGTGTGGGAGAAACACCATCTGTCCCTTGGTTTAATTTTAAAATATGCACTAATGAGCTCTATACATGTTAAACGACAACATCTCTATCTAAATTGAGATTTCATCCCTATGGCCAGGTGGTAAAGAGAGCTGGATCCCGCAAGGCTGACTGTGCAATTCAAATCCTGGCCCCAGCAGCTTGAGAAACATGCCAGGCACATGTGCATGCGTGCTCCAAATCCCAAAAGGAAGCAGAAATGGAGAAGGGACTGTAGTGTGACCCCACTCCATTGGGAATACTTTCTCTCTGTCTCTGTCTATCTCTCCCTGGTGAGCACACACACCTCTCACAATGGAAGAAAAAGATATCACTAAAAAAGGGGCGGCCCAGATGGCAGCACAGCCGTGACACAATGCTCTGTGATGCTGGGCCCACACAGGGAGATCCTGGTTTGCATCCTGGGGCCTCCCTGTATAGACCAAGGCACATGTTTTTGGGATCAGGCTGGCTGAGGCTGGGGGTGGGTCATGGCAGGAAAACCGGATTGAGGGTGCATATCTCTATCTCTCATAAAGAAATAAATAATTAAAAAAAAAAACTTAATATTACTTCACTCTCTCCACCCATGGTCCAGTGGTTAAGAAGCTGGATTCCATATGAGCAGAGAGAATATTATTCAGGCAATTATGCCCAGCAGAATTCTCCCATGCTGTGACCCCACACAGCACTCCTTCAGGAGGATGTCCACTCCTGGGGCCTGTCAGACTATAGCTGAAGGTTAGAGATTCGCATCCCTGCCTCAAGGACAGATAACGAAAGTTGGTGGCCATGGCCCTCCATTTCCACGCTGGGGTCTTCCTTCATGCTCCTTCTCCTTTCCTGGGTCCCAGCTTCCAGCTGGGGCTGCACTCTGGGCTTCTCTCCCCTGGGCTCTCTCTCTACTTCTCCTGGCTGGAGATGACCCATGCCTGCCCACCCCTAGGCCCACCTACCTCTGCAGTAGGAGCTGCTCTGGCTGGGCCATGTGTCTCTGACAAGCTGCCGCCTGTTGCCAGGCCTGGAACACCTCCTTCTGCAGGTCCTGGAGGTGTCTCTGCACCAACTTCTGGTACTTTTCTCGTAAGAACCACTGCCCTAGGGCCAGAGAGACACTGACATACCATTGGGGACTCATGCTAGCCTCTCCCCTGGGCCCCAGGTGACATGGTCCCTGCCTTTTCTCCTCCACCCAAATCAGAGGAGGCCACCCTGTCTGGATTGAAAAGCTTTGGTTGCATGCATTCTATTAGTGACTAGGCCAATCCAGTTCACAGCTCACTGCTGGGTTTTTAAAATTTTCTTGATGGGGCCAACAGGTAATGTAGTAGTTAAGGCACTGAACTCTCATGTGATTGACCACAGTTCGAGTCCTGGATCAGAGGCTTGAAATACGTCAGATATGTGTGCATGCATGCTCAAAATCCTGAGAAGAGTATGGAGCAGAAGGGATTGTGGTGTGGCCATCATCCTTAAGGGATGATTTCTCGCTTTCTGTCTTTCCAGTGAGCGCATGCACCCCTTTGCAAAAAAACTTTTTTTTTTCTGAGCAATATCAAGTATCAGAAAAATTCAGATTAAAAAAATCTTTATGTCTAGCTTTTCTTTAAAAACTAGGTCTCAGGGCTGGCAGGTGGCATGGTGGTTAAGGGCTCTAGATTCCCACATGGCCAACTGCAGTCCAAGTCCCGAACCTGGTGGCTTGCTTTCTCTCTCTCTCTCTTACTCTGTCCCTCTCTGGTCAAATTAAAATAAATTAATAAAGTTAAATAAAATAATTATTTTTTTAAAAAAACTAGATATAGGGGGGGACTAGCAGATGGTGTAATGATTACACATAGCTGGACTTCCACAAAGTAGACCACAGTTCGAGTCCCAGACCCAGCGACTTGAAACTCACACTGGGTGTGTGTGTGTGTGTGTGTGTGTGTGTGTGTGTGTGTGTGTGTGCCCAAAATCCTGAGGGGAGAATGGAGAAGGGATTGTGGCGACATGATCATCCCTCCTCGGGGGGGTGATTTCTCACTTTCTGTCTCTCTGGCGAGTGCATGTGCCCTATATACAAAATCACTCTTTAAAAACAAAAAAGGAGAAAGAAAACTAGGTCTGGGGCCAACCTATGACCCAGTAGTTAAAGCAGCCGGACCCCACATGGTTGACCAATCAGTTCGAGTCAGTCCTGACCCCAGCAGCTTGAGAAACACTCCAGATGTGTGCACGCATGCCCAAAATCTGGACAGCAAAGGAGAAATGGAGAAAGGACCGTGGCTGACCATGCCCTGTGTGGGGGTGCTTTCTCCCTCCCCACTCTGACTCTTCATGGCAAGTCCACATGCCTCTGGCAAAATTAAACAAACAAAAAACTAGGTCTGTTAACACTGGGTGACCACTAGACAACAACTGAGTCAGGAAGCAGCTGTCCCCAGTGAGCAGGACAGTCAGGTCTCTGCCCACAATCAGGTCCCAGCTTACTAATACGATGTATCAGTGTGTACCTGGCTGCCGAGCTGCCTCCTCCTTGGAGCCCTCCATAACTAACTGTGGACTTTAACAGTGCCGGCCCCGTGACTGCCAACTGTCCCTCCACCAACTCGGAGCTGAAACCAGATGATCCTGGCAGCCAGGTGATAACGACAAGGATGACAGTGATGCTGGTGCTGGTACCACCCACCAGGAACTGGTCTAAGCTCAGCATGGGGTTCCGATGGTCCTACTGGAGGTGATGGTTTCCCCATGGGACATGTGAGATGGCCGAGACCCAAGGGTAAGTAGCTGTTTCAGGGCCAGCGACCAGAGAACGGAAGAG